GGTGAGTCAGACTGTTTCATCCAAATGTCTGACGTGCTTTCTCTTTAAGTGTTCATGCATCACCGAGGTGCTGCTGTGATACGCAAGGACTGCATTGCAAATAATGCAGGTAGTTAGGGTTGGGCATCGTTTGATTTTGAACGATTCCAATTCCAATTCCTTGTTTCGATTCCGGTTCCAATCGATTCCCGATTCCGATTCTTTCAAGACATGACATGTTTTACATGAGCCAGCTAACCACAGGTCCTACTTTATGAAATAATCTTAACTTCAACATGAATTTTAATTCTGTGAACAATAACATCACCTTCATTTAGACAAAAATATGTTTTGGAGAAAAAAAGAAAAAGACTTGCAGCACAATCAGTGTGTTTGTTTCTGACCACAATCAAAGTCTGGAAGCAGCCTCTGGGATGAGAGGCTAAACGTCTCCGACATATCCAGAAAGATCCAGCTGTGTTCAGCTAAAACTCTCAGGATGATCATGTCCAGGATGACTGAGAACTACACCTCCATGCTGCAGCAGCCATTCAGTCGGAACAGAAAGTGAAACTTAAATGTAGCTGCTGTCAGTAACAATCTAACAGATTTTAAACATTAAAACTCTCAATAGAAATAGTTCAGAAAGGAAATTTAAATGTTCACAGCTTTGTGTGTGATTTATTATTATTCCATCCATCCATTTTAATCCGCTTATCCGGAGACGGGTAGCGGGGGCAGTGGCCTAAGGCGAGAGGCCCAGACTTCCCTCTCCCCAGCCACTTGGGCCAGCTCCTCTGGGGGGAAACCCCAGGTGTTCCCTGGCCAGGTGAGAGATATAGTCCCTCCACTGTGTCCTGGGTCTACCTTTAGGTCTCCTCCCGGTTGGACATGCTCGGAAAACCTCACCAGGGAGGCGTCCAGGAGGCATCCTGACCAGATGCCCGAGCCACCTCAATTGGCTCCTCTCGATGAGGAGGAGCAGCGGGTCTACTCCGAGCCCCTCCCGAATGACCGAGCTTCTCACCCTATCTCTAAGGGAGAGCCCAGCCACTCTTCAGAGAAAACTCATTTCGGCTGCTTGTATCCACAATCTCGTTCTTTCGGTCACTATCCAAAACTCATGACCATAGGTGAGGGTAGGAACGTAGATCGACCGGTAAATCGAGAGCTTCACCTTCTGACTCAGCTCACTCTTCACCCCGACAGACCGGTACAACACCCGCATCACTGCAGATGCAGCACCAATCCACCTATCGATCTCACGCCCCAGTTTTCCCTCACTCGTGAACAAGACCCCGAGATACTTAAACTCCTCCACTGGGGGCAGAACCTCATCCCTGACCCGGAGAAGGCCCTTTTCCGAATCAAGGAGAATTTACAAAGGAATTTATTATTATTATTATTATTTATTGTGGCAGAAGCTGGTGTGGTCCACCACAGAGAAGGTTCTCTAGCATGATAACTTTATTATACAGGATATTGTTCAGCCTTCTGATGCTTACGTTCGCTCTCTCACACACACACACACACACACACACACACACACACACACACACACACACACACACACACACACGAGTGTTGGTGAGCGGCTGCGTCTGACTGCTGACGCTCCATGTGTTTTTATTTCTGCAGTGACAAACTCACCTCACACCGTCCAGTTTGTTCTTTAAAGCTTCTATTAAATCCACCATGTTGACGTATTTTAACAAGTTTCCTCTACGCTGCAGGAGTTAAAGTTTACATTACGGAGCAAAAGTTCGGCAGACGAGTTTGTTTATATTTGGCCGCTGCGCGCCGGGTGGGGGGAGGGGGGACTCGGTGCTGCACACAGACAGCTGGTGTGATCAGCTCTGAAAAGCATTGATCATAATTTGCAGATCACATTTATTTTTCACGGAGATCGGCCGCGGATCCCTCTTCCGTCTGCATTCTAGGAATCGAAACTAGGATTCAAAATAAAAAACTTTGAACCATTCCGGGAAAAATTAAGAGTTGGAACTGGTTCCAATCGGTGCTCGATGCCCAACCCTACAGGTAATCTTTTTATTCGCCGAATCCATGCTGGAATGCTCCCAAACTTTTGATGTTTTGGTATGCGTAGCTGCTATGTTGGATGCTGCCATTTCTGTTAGTTGACGCTCAGCAGAGAAGCTATTGCATATGTACGACTCTCTGCAGAGATTGTAATGAAGTGAGATGCCTCACTCGGTCGTGAAAAAAACCCACGTCTGGTGACAACGTCGACAATGAAATTCATTGTCGACTATTTCTATTGTCGGTATTTGTCGACGTCGACAAATCGTTGCAGCCCTAATGGCAAATGCTTCCTGGGATTAAAAATTAAGACTTGCCCTAATAAAATTTAAGACATCCAGACAAAAATCCAGATATTTTTAAGACCTTAAATTTACAATTAAGTACAAAAAAAAAAACAGATTAGATGATGTCATTTGATTTTCACATGAACTGTCAGAACTTTAACTGCAACAGCAAAATTACTGAACACTGTGTGGCTTAAGATTGAGTAAGCTAGCATGTTATAACACTATATGTTATAACATGTTATAACATATAGTGATACTATAGTAGTATTGTACAGGAAAATACTGGTACCTTTTACGTACCTTGTTGCGATTTTTAACACATTACTAACAACTTGAAGCATTTTTATAAGATGAACTTTAACACTTCATCTCTAAGTGAGCAGCTTACATAACTCACTTTGCACTAATAGGGGATAAAGTAATATAGCTCTGTATAATCCTAAATAAAGTGTAATTATCTTGTAAGGAACATTATATTTGATTCTTTTTTTTTTCATTTTTTGACCAGCTCTTATAAATTTGAAAGGAGCAAAAACATCATCACATTGGAACATAAACTCCTTTCAATTTAGGGTCAAGATTATTCTGTGGCTTGTTACAAAATAGAAGAGAGGTGGTAAAACGGCTTTCAGTTGTAAATGAAGGAGACCCCTGCTCTGTGTTTTCCCCACTGCTCCGCAATGCCCAAAAGGCGCGTGCTCATTACAAGCTCGTGCCCGACGTGCTCTGCTTTTAACACAGATCCAGTGCTGCTTTTATTTAGACTGTCACTCGTGTGACTTGTCATTGTCAGTTCTCTTACATTTCTCAGTAAACCAAAGTTTAACGTTCGGTTCATCCTTTGACTCCTCTTGAGAATCATTTTTGTTTTCTGCCACCTGCTGAACAGCAGGAATGTAAAGCTACGTTGCTGTTCAGTTTTTTTTAATGAGAATGGCAGACAAGCGTAAACACAGGCATGTTGCTGCCTCCATCAGGTCAGTTGTTTAAACAACACTGCTTTATCTTCAAATTTCAGACCCGCCACTGTGGCGTGTGCGTTGTGCCAACTAATTTCCACCCCTGTGTACAACCAACTTGGGAAACACTGAAAAGATCTCTTAACTTGCTTCCGAATAACTCAGAGTCCCTCAATATGATGGAAAAGGTGTCTGCCTAAGCTGTTGTTCAGTAACCCAGTATTGGATAAACAACTGAAAAAGTTGATGGATGGACAAATAGAGAAAGACAGACAAATTTGTTTTTAGTATTTTAGCATTTGTTCAAATGTCACTTTTACTAATGTGCCTAAACTTTTCAGCTATTTGTAACTATCTGTGTAATGTAGCAATAACTTCACGGGAGCATTATCAAAACTGAAACACAAGGCTGGAGTAAAGTGCTGCACCAAGTCTGAAAAGAGACAAAAGAAAGAGGGTTTAAAACGCTTGTGTAACTGCTGATGAACAAATGCAGGTGCACCTCTGTGTGCGTGTGTGCATTCTAATGGCTCTATGATCCACTTTTGCAGGTGGTAGGCAGATAGTCCATGCAATGTAGCAGATCGGGCAATCATTAGACATGTGCTATTGCTACACAAAAAAACCCTAATGTGTGACACGGCCAATGAGCTGCAAGTGAAAATGTCAAAACTCATTTTAAAACAATTTCAGTTCAAGCCTACGTCATCAAAATGTGTGATTTTGCTCATTTAAATATTCAAATACAATTGTTACTTACATTTATTATTTTAGTTTTAAATATATTTACATGCATTAAAGAGTAGCACAAGTCAAATTAACATAAAGTTCAGATAATTACTAAGTTTTCTACTTTGTGAGGCAGCAAGCTGAATGTCATAAAATGATCTGCTGAAATACCTCAGGGAAAAAGGGTAAAAGTATTAATTACAAACAAAAATATAAGGTATAGCTTTCCGCCTCTCTCCCTGTTTTGTCTTTCTGATGGTGTGCCTGTGTGTAAATGCTTTCTGGAAGCTGAGATGGACTACATCAGTACTTAACTTTACATCTGGTACAAATGTACCAGCAGGTACATTAAAGGATGTGCAAATAGATGGGTTCAGCCTCACTGGTCACTGTCATAATAAATGAACATGCTTACTATTTATAACCACTAAGCTGCACACTGTGAGGAAGCAGTAAGCTGCCTAATGCTGCCGATGTTAGATCGTAGCTCAGTGTATCAAGAGTGCATTGTGTGGGGGAAAAAAAGTGGACATTTTGAGGCAAAAAAAATATTTACTAGCCGATAGAAAGAAATACTAACGACAAAAATTACTCAAAGTCTTAGTAGTGACACAGGAAAAGTGCTGTCCAGCATTGATAGTTTGTTTATTCAAACCTAAACAATTGTTTTACAGCATCCCAATAAAGAGAGTAACAATTTATGTATTTAATTTTCAATATCCAAACATTTTCTTATTAGTACCTTAAAGTTTGCTTTAAAAATGGATTTGTCTTCAACAAACAATCATAGTTATCAGAGAACATGGTAGTAAGCTAAATGTAATATAAATGAGGTACAGAAAGAAAAGAATATGTACATACATTTAAAAAAGCAATAGGATATTGATGAAATAAGCAATGCATTCTTGACAATTTGCTCCCACTATCACTAAAATAAATTACCTAAAGTTTTGTGTTACTGTCAAATGTTACTCATGTCTTAGTTTAGATAGTAAAAACTCACCCTTCCGACGAGAACCTCCCCTGTGCTCCATTCTGAGGAGCCCGGACAAATAGGGGGGTAAAGGGGAGAGGGTCCTATTAAGGGTCTCTGAGGAGCTCCAGCAATAGAAGTCCAAATAATTGAGACACTGTTACTGTAATGCAGTCAAGAACGCTGGCTGTGCTGGGAGATAATGTGAGGATAAGCTATTTCTGTGACAGTCTGTGCTCATGCTCGTGTGTTTGTGCATGTGTGTAAAAAAGAGGCTGTGACGACAAAGTCAGCGACATCAGCCATGCATCACAAGGCACTCTCCCTCCCACCAACAGACCTGCAAATCCAGGCATGCGTATGAGAGCACAGAGGAACAATATCTCCGCTTCCACAAGCTCAATAAGTTCTTGATCACAGCCACAATTTAGGATGCACAAGCTATCATACACACAGACACCAAGAGAAAGAGCAGGAAAAAAATAAACAAAGGAAATATGTCCCAACATCCCTAAGCTCCAAATGAAGATGCAGTTAGTCTAGCATCCACTATATACTAAAGTGCATATAGTTGCACTTAAACTTCGCAAGGGCGCTTGTTTATATTATGAATATTCATACTGATTTTGTTAGAAATATTTCAGATAAAATTATCCATTTCATATGATCAAGTTGTGAGTCATCCATTGTTACATGATAACAGTGAGGCTAATGCATCATAAACAGCACAGACAAAGGCAAATAAAGCTGTGCTTCGGTCTTTACTGTGGTCAGCATAGCACTCCGCCGTCCTGCTCTTTAATCTGTTCATCCGAGAGCATGTGAAGTGGGCACTAATCACTTAACCAGATTAAACTAATCCTGAACTTTTTATAAAACCAGAAGCAATGTCAAGGCTCTGGCATTGAGGAAGATATGGCTTTAAAGTTAGCACACACTTCCTGTTGCTGTCTTCTGGCCACTGGCTACATGTCCTTCAGAAAAATGTCCTTTCCCTACTGGAGCCATAAATTATTTTCACCAATTAAAAAAAGTAATAAGAATAAGTTATATAGCAATGTTTGCAAAACATTTTTAGCTACACCTTACAAACTGGGACTGTCTCGGACATTTTTAAACCATATAAGGCAATGTCTTTTGAGTTCTGCAGATTTGTATCTATTTAACAGCGAGTCTGGTTGTGACCTCTAACATTTGTTGAAAAAAATCTTAATTGGGAGACTCAGTCATGCCCATTTACTTCCGGACCATGGAGACTCAGTCATGCCCATTTACTTCTGGACCACGGGTCCCCGGAAGAACAAAAACTGAATGTAAGTCAAAGTGGCTAAAATCGCTATTTTCTAATTATGCTTGTTGTGTGCCATGGATTTCACATATGAAGTCCTTGAATTTTTAAGACACATTTGATGCCAGGAACATGCTTATTTTTGAATGAGGGGAATTGGGATTTTAGGCTTTGTAAGAAAATATGTCCAGGACGCTAGGGAAGAGGAGATTATGTGGTGATGTCTGATTTGTAGTCATAATTACAAATTTTTACAGGCTGACAAATCTCAAAGTATGTGACTGGTATGGTTGAAACATGTCATTACTTTTCATTTAAATTGAAGAGCAACATATGTGTGATCTGGGGCGTAAGGCAAAGCAGATTAGAAAATAGCTTTTAACCTCATTGACCTGCATTCATTTTTACGTTCTTCTGGGGACCCATGAGCCAACTGGAAAGGGATGACACTTGAGCTCCCTCTGTGATTTTGTGTAAAATGCAAAACCTTTTTATCATGAGGTTTAGACTGTCACTCTGCTCAGTAGAATATAGATAATAAACTGACAGACTTGATCAGAAAATTATTAAGGATTATTAAATAATTACTAACAATTATCATAAACAGTAGAAAACATCAGAAAATAAAATGAAACACTGTTATGATCCATAAGAGGTAATTGTTCTTCATTGATGATTCACTGTTACTGTTGCTTTATAAGATGCACTGGTTGTGATTAAATGTTGGAGTTGAACGCTGATGGGACTGCAGAAAAGTGGGAAGCAGCGTTTTCCCATCTACTTTAAGGAGTTCAGATCAAAATGTCATATTGGCTGATGCTTTAGTGCTGCAACAACACTACAATATTCAGAAATGTAAGTGTTGAAACTGCCGAGATTAAAAACTTTCTCTTGTTGATTACAAAGAAAAGTAGTCTTTGACTCTGTGTCAAATGTCAACAATCACAGTTTGTAGTTTTCATGAAAATTTTAACTGTCAATATTTTTGCTAAGTTAAAAATTAACTGATTTGGCAAAGGGTAGAATGCCTTCTTCAGGTCAGGGATGAGGTTGTGCCAACTGGAGGAGTTAAAGTATCAATGAGTCTTGTTCACAAGTGAAGGAAAGCTGGAGCGCGAGATCGACAGGTGGATTGGTGCTGCATCTGCAGTGATGTGGGAATTTTACTGGTCTGCCGTGGTGAAGAGAGAGCTGAGCCAGAAGGCGAAGCTCTCTCTTCACCAGTTGATCTACGTTCCTACCGTCACCAATGGACACAAGCTTTGTGTGGTGACCAAAAGAAAGAGATTGCGGATACAAGTGGCCGAAATTAGTTTCCTACACAAGGTGGCTGGGCTCTCCCTTAGAGAAAGGGTGAGAAGGTCGGTCATTCGAGAGGGTTCGGAGTACATCTGCTGCTCCTCCACATCAAGAGGAGCCAGTTGAGGTGACTCGAGCATCTGATAGGAAGGTCCCGCCTTTCTCACCTGTTTGGCTGGAAGGGCTCTCCTGCAATTGGCTATTTCATGTAAGGACACAGTTTTCCCTCGTTGCAGGTTTTTATGTTTACAGCCAGATCTTGGAGTTTTTTTTTTTTTGAAGAAAATGTGAAGTCATCACTATAATAAACATCTTTTCTTGCTTTGCAACAAACCTGTTTCAATTTCTTTCATAAAAGAACCTAAAAACATCAAATGTGAACTTGAAATAAATCTTCTTATCTCTATTTAGCTCTATTGGGGTTATCATATTATTTAATTATATCCTATGTCTTCACTTCAATAGATTGAGGCTGTTTACAAGTTAGAGCAAATCTCATGATCAGATTAAATGTGTATCATTTAATCAAAAATTAAGGTAATGCTGATTGATTTAGACCTATTTTTCACCAGTTTTCATTATCCTAGAAAAGAAACAGACCTGATGCACACAGCTGGGCAGAATAGGGCAGTTTAATTAAATTTCATACCCAGGTAATTGTTTAATGCTTGAGAGCCAAGAGATATAAAGGAAGTTCAACAGTTTGATAAAGGCAACTAGATTATAAATTCACATTTTACCTTTTTCAGTTTTTCATGAAACATAAAATATAAAATGTTTTGCAAAACAGGACAGAATGGTTATTATTGCGCTAAGTTCACATTTTATTTACAAAACTCCCCAAAACTGCTTTTTGCTGGTGGCAGAAGGACAGTCTGCACTTAGCGAGGACAGCCAGTATGCTGCTAAATGAAACAGCCAATCGTAGTAGAGCCTTTCAAGCCAATCAGAGATGAGAAAGGTGGGATCTTCCTTGGACATCCTAGAATTCCAAATGATGCCACCTGGATGCCTCCCTGGAGAGGGTTTCCGGGCACGTCCAGTAAAGGGAGACCCAGGACACGTTTAAGGGACTATGTCTCTTACCTGGCCAGCGAATGCCTTGGGATTTCCCCGAAAGAGCTGGCCCAGTTGGCTGGGGAGAGGGAAGTCTGGGCTTCTCGACTGTTGCCCCCGCAACCCTGGTCAGGATAAGCGGAAGAAAATCGATGGATGGATGGAAAAGTGAAGAGCTTAGGTATGAGGGCTGAGAAATAAATCATTATCAAAATGTATGACTCTTATGGAGATAATTTTGCCAATAAATTTGATAGTAAAAAATATATATATATGTGTGTGTAGGTTGGCAATGTTCATGTCCCTTTAAAAACCTGTACCACCTTGGGTCATGTAAAAATGTGACTCAAGGTAACACACGTGACCACCCCATCTAGTGGACAACTTGTTTCTGCGCATACCTGTAATTATTTTATCGTTATTTAGATAAAATCCTCAATCTATTGTGATATTGATTTTAGGCCATATTGCCCAGCCTTATTAGGTATATGTCAGACAAAATTGAGTTTTGTCATTGAGTAATATTCAATATGTCAGAAATGTCTGATGTGCTTTCACAAACATTGATATAGGAAAAAGGGACATGATCAAGTATTTTTCCTGTGGACATATAGCTGTATTTAAAAATAGTCTTAGTTTCTATCCAGACTTTGAGCCCAAGTGACGACAAAACAGAACATCTGCTGCACAGAACTGACAGATGTGTCATGACAGGGCTTAAAGATGGACTCTTAAATCACAAGATGAGGATTTAGTCAATGCAAGCTTTAACATCAAATTGTTGCTGCATGTCTATAAAAACTGCAATAGTTAAGATTTTATTGTTTTTATATTTATCAATCTGAGCATGGCAAAGACAAACCATTACATAATAATTCTTGAAGACAGTTTCACCTCACCTCAAATTTAATAAGTAATAAGGATGATCTAGGGCTGGGCGATATATTGATATTTTTAAAATATCAATATGATTTAAAATAAGAAACAAAATGGCTCAGCATTGTTTAAATTTTTATAAATATACAACCAGTGTATTTCTAGAGTTAGCAGATGCAGTTAACACTATCTTGCTCTGTCTCTACATCAGCAAGGACAGTAGTAGCTTTGGACGTAGTGTGGTTTATCCAGTAATCGGACAGTGTCAACCAGGTTACAACCAGAGAATGCTACTGTTGTGTCTTTGGACAAGACACATAACCTGCCTTACCTGCTAGTGGTAATCAGAGGGATCGGTTGCGCCAGTGTTCGGCAGGCCTCACTTCTGTCAATGCGCCCCAGGGCAGCTGTAGCTACATCATTGCTCATCCCCACCAGCATGTGAACGTGTGTGTGAATGACTGATTGTGCTGTGAAGCGCCTTGGGGGGGTTGTAGAACCCTAAGAAGGTGATGTACAAATACAGGATATTTACATGTATGCTCACATGTCTGCTCAATCAGAAACCCTCTGGGTCAATATTTATTATGCCCTAAACTTTGAATTTGGCTTTGTGGTTGTTAATTATTTAGGGACGTTCATTCGTGTTTTAGTGAGCCTTTTCAGTGATCCAGGACCGGTTTGAAGCCCACATCCTGCCCCTCCCTCATCATCAGGAAACTCCTGCCGTATAAGATGGCAGGACGACACCAACAGATACCGACAGCACTGGGCACAAAGCACCTTGGTTTAACTTCTAAAGCCTATTTATTATATGTTTCCACTTATTTGCTGTGAGATTAATACTTTGTTTATATTAA